CCCCTGTGGCCCCAATCCGGCTGTTCCCCTGCCAAATGAGGCTCGCTTCGCTCGCCTAGCCGCCCCCCCCCGTCGGGGGGCGTTTAGTCCCCCCGTCGGGCTGATCCTGGCGCCATCACTGGTCCTGTGTGTATACATTTAACAAAACAAAACTGATATTATCTATGAAAAGACGGTGAGAGAGGATAACCAGATTTTTTTTCCAAATTGGCCATGAAATATTGGCGTATTTAGGTGCAATTTTTGTACCCATAGTCGTGCCTTTCATTTGCAGGAAATGTTAGCCGTAAGGGTAAGAATACAGTTGGTAATAGACATTACATAATGTCCTCTGATGTCCACGTTAGAGAAATAATGTTTTGTAAGAAATTTCTTGCAAGTTAGAATGCCCTCATCATGTGGGAAGTTGGTGTACAATGATGATACATCCGTGGTAACTATATCATATTAATTTGTTTGGTTCACGTAAACCCTGCAAACTCGCCACCGTGAAAATCACCCTATCTTTTAACCATTTGCGTTTATTCAAAATCATTGACTGTTTCACTACAAAAACCGTAACTCAAAAACTAGAGGTCGGATAAATTAGGTTGAAACACTTTATAGAAGGTTATTAATTATAGCTATTTCAAACAATATAACAAAATATTTTCAAATATTTCTGTAAAATGTAAAGTCGCTTTAATTTTTTAGGACTATCTGAACCCAATGAAGACATCGAACAGGCTTTGCAGGCCAGAGGGACCTCATTTTGTAGGAGGTAATGTGAGCTTATTGGTAATAAACCATTTTGAAAGTTGGGTAAATAATTTCATCTGGCTTCCAATAGTTATAAATATGTTTTTGCATGAATTAAACCACAGCCTCTATAATTGTACCAATACATCTTTACTGTTATTTGCTGACGACAGTTTCGCCTGGTGGTTGTTTCGCAGGTGCTCGATGGTAGTGGGCTGCTCCAGCCGTCTTTAATGTGAGAGGTGATGCGCACCTTCGTCTTCATCATCACCTCATCGAGTTAATATTATGTATAAACAGAAATAAATTTAAATTTTCTCTTGAAAGATGTTTAAATTTAAAATTTAAAATATTAATCTGTTATGCACAAGTTAAACAAAATGAAAACCATTAATAAATTAATAGTACTATATAATAT